ATTATCACTAAACAATCAAGCAAATCACCTTGATTGATCAGTCGATGCACTGATTGATCAGTGGTCCCAACCAATCGACTTTCTCCGCTGATCAATCGCGTCAGGTCGGTCCTACTTCACGCTGGATCGCTTTGACACCAAACTGATGCATGCTCATCTGAAGATGAGCGTTGCAGTTGTCGAAGGAGCAGCAGTCACGGTGTGATGAACATGACTCGAAACAAAACAAGATAATGCAATGTAGCGCAGCGGAAGACTCAAAGATATGACCTCACACATCAGATCCAGATTCGACTCACAGAATCATCATCACACACCTCCCACAACAAGGAGGGAAATCATACACAGAAGAGAGATCCCTCCTTGTGCACACACATGGGGAGAAACCACGGATGATGAAGGGAGAGGAGAAACGAAGATGGGGAGCCTAGGGAAATAGGACAATAGTAGAACTCATAGTCGTGCAAGGAATAGTATCCGCATCAGATGTCCAACCAATGTCTGTCCTAAAAAATGTCGAATCAGATCCTGGGCTCCACGGCCCGAAATAGTCACTGCTTGAAATCTCTCTCTCTCTCTCTCTCTCTCTCTCTCTCTCTCTCTCTCTCTCTCTCTTTGAAGAGGAAGAAGAAAAGAGGGAGGAGGAGGGGAAGAAGAAGAACAATGGCTATGGAGGAGTGGAGAACAATCAGGGGAAGGAGGAGAAGAAGAAGAAGAATTCTTCTCTCACGCGCTCCTCATGATGATGACGTCCAGCAAAGGTGATGACTCGCGATGGAGGTTGCTGCTGAAGGCCGGTCCCATGACTGGTATGAAGACCCAGCTATGGCACCCAGTCAAGTCTCTCTCTCCCTCGTGGGCATGGCCTCCGCCAAACCTCTCCACCCCAGCCTACTCCTCTAATCCCCCAGCGCTGCTCTATAGCAGTTCTCCCCAAACTGCCGCTGGTCCAGCAGCATGACGCCCAAAGGAGGCTCCAGCCCGAATGTCCTCAAAGTTGGGAGGACTGGCCCTGCTATATACCGCTGGCCCTGGCTGAGCAGTATACTTGGCCAAAAAACGGCCTACCTGGGTCCCTACCGGACCTCCAGCCAATCCTGCTGATGCAGCAGGGTCCTGAAGACTGGGCCAGACACAAACAGACAAGTGCCTGGTCCAGTCCCACGTACTGACAAATCTGAACCTGGTCTACAACGGCCGAAACTGAATCACGCAGCAAAAATAATACATGCTGGGGGCCTGGCGTGGAATATGGCCATGGGCCTCCAGGTCGCTCACCAAAAATTTGTGTGCAGCCTGAGGGCCTGGAACAACGTGTAGCGGCCTCAGCATGCTTCTCTGGGCAGAGGTGAAGTATTGAACCCGCAACCTCTGACGACAATGCGCATACCTCAGACCACAATGCCCATCAACGGCGGGTGCCCTCACCACTGAGCCAGAGGCCCGAGGGTCTTCAGCTCTCTCTGTCTCATACTACAACTTGCCTAATAACTAGGGCTATCACTTGGGATATCCACTCATCTATCAACTGGGATATTCACTTACCTATCAATTAGGGGTATCGATCCCCCTATCGACTAGGCTATCAATTAGGCTATACTAGGCCATTGACTAGGCCCATTGACTAGGCTATCAATTAGGCTATACTACAGTCTTACCCCGAAGACAACGTACGGTCATTATAGCTGAATTTGGTGCATCTTTAAGTCTAAATTCAGCTATAATGACCGTACGTTGTATTCAGGGGCAGACTGTAGGCCATAGGCCATCGACTAGGCCATCGACTGGGCTATCGACTACCATAGGAGCCGCCGTGCACCCTCATGAAGTCCTGTAGTATCATGTTCATACCTAGCTCCCGAAGTCCTGGTGTAATTGGGCTTGCACCGCGTCTGCTTCAACCGGGGCTGAGCAGGGGGCAGGGGTCTGCCCCCTGCTTAGCCCCGGTGCATGCAACTGCTGTCTGGTCAGGTCACCCCGCCAAGATGGTGACGAGTGATGGTCCTTATTTCTTCCTACTCAGCAGGGTAGCCCCCCCCTCTTGATTTTCTTTTAATTGATAGTTTGGTGTGGATCGGAGAGTAGGTGAATTTGCTGAATGATCTCCCACTGCTCTGCTTGGAACCATCGAGTCATATAAAGGTGGTAGGACTGTCCAGCCTGGACGGCTGTAATTGAAGCTGCGTAGGGGCCTCGGTCCATCCACTACTCTCGGAATGTGAAGAACGAGACTGCATCTTTCGCTAGAACATGGAAAGATGCACGGCCATGATTTTTGTCTTTTGTGCAGGTCGAGACTTGTGGAGCGAGGCCCTAATCCTCCCATTATTCCCAGTAATTGTTATCTTTTTTTCTTTTCTTCTTTCTTTAAAACTACACTGTTCTTCTCTCAAATTCTTTTTTCGCCTTTCACTACCTTCCTACCACTACTCCTAAGACTATACAGAGGGGACCCCTGCAAGCATAGGGCCTCGCAAACGAGGTAATTCATGTTGCCCCCCGCCCCAACAGGGGTAGTCAGAGATGGGGTGGGGCCGCCGGTCGGGGTCCGGCTAACACAAAGACCGAGCATTTTGCCACTAGCTGCGCCTCCCTTTCTCATCGTCCCCCACCCCTCATCGAGTAGCAGCAGAGGCTATGGCCAACACTCTCCCACACACCACACACAACCCACTCGCCCTCACAGTCACACCCGTGTTGGTCATAGACCCAGCAAATACCGATCAGGGGTATCCAGAAGATTATCTCAGTCCGTTGGCACTAAGTGCGCCGCAGGCGGCCACGTGCATCCTCCTCCTATCTGGCTGCTACCGCTACTTGAATCACGTCCAGGATTCCAACTTGAGATTGCACCGGTGCTTGAATCACGTCCAGGTACATTGCAGTGACGTGTCGCAGCGACACGCAGATCGTCATTGCAGTATAAGGACGTGGTGTGTCATCACACCACGGCCATGGAAAAACTCTTGTACGTCCTTCGGGATATCAAGAACGATAGAGAGAAGAGATGATTAGCATGGCTTCTGCGCAAGGATGACAGGCGTAAATTTCTCATTTGAATCTTCTTCTGGCAATAGACGCATGCTCTCTGCCATGCTGTTATTACGTGTACAAGCAGCCACGTCAGAGCGATTCGAAAATCCACAAAAGGCGGCATAGATGTAGGGCAAGATCCCACTGACAAAAGAGGATTGTAGCAAGGGTCAGATCCCACTACCCTGGATTATTCATTTTTCACCCTCGATTACGAAGATCAACGGTCAGAAATGAACAATAGGTACTAGTGGGATCTGGCCCTAAGTGTCTGAATGTGGACGTGTTTGTGGACAGGCGCGAAATTTTGTGATTGATCTACTTTTGTAAACCTCTCTGGGACAGGCGCGAAATTTTGTGATTGATCTACTTTTGTAAACCTCTCTGGGACAGTCCACAGGTTCAGACACTTCTTCCAATCCTCTTTGGCAGTGGGATCTGGGCCTTACTCTTCTCCGGAAACCATACACCCTTCCTTTCCCCCCTTCCATGTAAGGAGATTTGTTCTCTTTTTTTTTTATTTTCTTAATTACAAAAGGAGGCGACGGGCCTCGATATATCATCATTCAACTGACCGCCCCAGGTAATTCAGAATGATTGTATCCTGGTCAGTCATCTGATTGTATCTGGATTCGAACTTGGGTCCGTATCTCAACAGTTCGTGGGTGTACCAACTGAGCTACGCCCGGTGGTCGAAAGGAGATTTCATTTCAATGCCCAAGACAAACAACAAAAATAAATTGACGGGCTGTAAGCTAAACTCACTACAGGGTAAACTAACTGCAGGGTAAACTGACTGCAAACTAAACTAACTGCAGGATAAACAAACAAACTGCAGGGTAAACTAACTGCAGGGTAAACTAACTGCAGGGTAAACTAACTGCAAGGTAAACTAACTGCAGGGTAAACTGTCTAGCTGCAGGGTCAACTAACTAACTGCAAGCTAAACTGGCTGATGCTGCAAGGATAACTCCGGGTTGAATTGTGAGGTTCCCGGCCTCGATTTGAACTGGTTAAAAAGAATCGATTGTTTTGTTCAAAAAAGAAACAAAACAAGAGAAAGGTCCAATCGAAGTAAAGAGAAAAGAGGAACCAAGCGGACGCGCCATGACACGTCAGCAGAGTCGCCACGCCCTTTGCCTCCCCGCCTGTTCTGAGCTGCCCACCCAAAGCCAAGGCAATCGCCGTCGCAGCGAGCACTCCAACGTACGAACGAAGACCACAACGTACGAGAACATTGTGGCTCCGTCATTCAGAACGAAGACCACAAGCAAGCAAACCTCGGACAATACCTTTTTCCCACCATCTTTTCCCAAATAAAAAGCATCCTCGACATGACTGTATCAGACCCAAAAGACAGCTTTGTACATTCACCCTCGTCCTCTATCAATGAGCAGACGACAGATATACGGGTCCATCATCATATGACTAACGTCGACCGGAATTAGGGTTTGTAGTACTTCGTACAATAATGATGACAGGGAGTTATACTCGGGGAAATATGGTCATTAATCTCGCACGTAATCAGCAGCCTTAGTGGCCAAGCAACATTGCCTCTGGCCGGAGAAAATACAAACGATGACGATTCAAAAAAGGCAACAGCACTTTAGATCGACACAAACCAACAGCCGCAAGGAATCACTGAAGAACATCATTCCACGATCTTTTACTAGTAATTTTCCATACGATTCCTGTTTTCATATTTTTGCTAATCATTCCACAATCTTGTCTGTAGCTTCGTTTTTATACATTTTCTGATTGTTTCAGCAGACATTTTTTAATTATTGCACAATCTTCCATGTAGATTCGTTTCTGTACAATTTCTAATCTTTCGACAATCTTCCGTGTAACTAATCAAAAGTGCGCAGCAACTCTCATTCGCATTCACACCTCCACAAGAGGCAAGAGAAGAACGATAAATCCCCCAGCAAGCACCCACAAAAGCACAACTAGCACAACATATCAATTGAGCTCTCGCCTTTAGACAGTGTGACAATCCACACTGAACACAAGTCGAATTTCGAAATCAGATCCAAATCACAACTGTGCATTCTCTCATCCCAAGCGTTAAGCATCTACCGAGAAAATGGAAACCTACAAGGCAGAGCAAGGCCGAAGAAGAAACAGGAAAACAAAAAGACACAGCGTCATGTCTGAGGATAGTAGGGTCGTATGGGACCGTTTTAATAGCCACATTCCGTCGTTGAAGTCCGACCGTCTTCCTCCGAATAGAACGTACAGTCGTTATCGCCGTATCTAGAATGGAACTTGCCCCAAATCTGGCACGGCGAATAGAACGACCGTACGTACGTCCTATTCGGCAGAAGACGCGGTAGTGTGAGCATAACCAAGCATCTCTATCTGATTCAATCTGGCACGGCGTGAGAGAGGAGAGCTCGGAGAGATATGGATCGAGATGCACAAGTCGTTCATGATGATTGAAAAACTTTTGTCACATAGTCCGCGCAACTCCATACTCGCCTGACAAAAACAAAAGACTCAAGACTGATCACTGAAGTACTTTTTTTCTTTTTCCTCCTCCGTCTTCTTTCTTCTTGCTGTCGGATACAAGCGACAGGATTGAGAGCAGCCTTCCAGGCAAACGACAGGAAAAACACAAAAGATCCAATGCCACAGAGTCACAATGAACCTTGTCTCCTTTATTTAACCCGTACAAACTCTCTCCAACTTATGATGTTCTATCCGCTAAGAATACGTCTAACAGACGATCTCTCTACTTCTTTCTCCCTCTCACACACACTGACACGGCAAAGGGCGCATTACTGACGTGCCGTCTTTCTATCTATGTCTATTGTCTATCCTCTAATTCTCTCTTCCTCTTGCGCGCACGTGCGCATTCGCTCTTGCTTCCCCACCACATTCACTAGGATGCCGTTGACTGTACGTTCTATATAATCAACGTCCTCCTTCGCTGAACCGTAGACGATCGCTTAGTTGATAGCGGACAAAACACCCTGCTCCAACAGCAGCGTGAAGTTCGACTCGTTGGCTGCCGGGCCCTCGAATTGGATGGGACCGGGGTTCCTGAACCGGTCGTTGATGGCCCAGTCGTCGCGCACGGCGGCGAAAGCGGTGAAGGGCGCGCCATCGAGCTCGACGAGGGCCTTTCTGATGACGGGCTTGTTCTTCCCCTTTCTCCTCTCCACTTGCATGAGGCTCGTGAGCGGCGTGCCTCCTGCGGTCCACTCCTTCGTCGGCGCCGTCAGGTTGTTCACGGAGGCCATGTAACCCGTCAATCCAGATTGAAGAAGGGCTCCCGCCGTGTACCCCAGAGCGTACGTGTAGTTGGCATCGAAGTTGGAAGGCAGTCCGCACCGGCCTTCGTACCCAAAGAAGTGGTTCTGGCAATTGAAGCTGCCTTTGAACGTGCCCTCGGCTTTCTTCACCTTAAGGTCGGCCGCGACCATCTCCATCAGCATCTTCTCCATCTCAATCTTCGACACCTGGACATTGCCGTGAGGGTCCCGCTCGAGCAGCAACTGCTCTTGGATCGTGGGCGGAAGGATGTCGAACACGCTCCTCGACGCCGCCGTCAGGTCCTTCTTCCACTCTCCCTCCTTGTCGACGGTGGTCTTCGCGAGAATGTCATTCAACTCGGCGATCAGGACGCTGATCTCCGGAACGAAGTCGATCAGGCCCTCGGGAATCAGCACCACTCCGTAGTTTCTCCCCTCCGCCGCTCTCTTGACCACCACGTCCAACACGTAGTCCTTCACTTCTTTCAGGGTCATCTTCTTCGCGGCAACCTCTTCTCCCACGAGAGTGATGTTAGGATGGGTTTGGAGAGCGCATTCCAGAGTCACATGGGACGCGGCGCGGCCCATGAGTCTGACGAAGTGATAGTACTTGGCCGCCGACTTCGAGTCGATCATGACGTTGCCAATCAACTCCGAGAAGATCTTGCACGCAGTGTCGAAACCGAAACTAACGGGCACCTCCTTGGACTTCAGATCGCCGTCGATGGTCTTCGGGCACCCGATCMCCCTCGTCTTCAGCCCCTCGTTCTTGAAGTACTCCGCCAGCACACAGGCATTGGTGTTGGAATCGTCACCGCCGATGACGACCAGACCGTCCAGATCCAGGCTCTCCACCGTCGACTTGGCCATCTTCATCTGCTCGTCGCTCTCGATCTTGTCACGCCCGCTGCGGATGATGTCGAACCCGCCCTGGTTGCGATAGGGGTAGAGAAAATCGGCAGTAATAACCGCATACTTGCCCTTCATGATGCCACCGGGACCGCCCAAGAAGCCGTACAACGTGCTGCCGGGCACGTTTTTCTCAAGGTAGTCGAAGATTCCAGCAATCACGTTGTGACCGCCGGCCGCCTGGCCTCCAGACAGAACCACACCCACCTTCAATGGCGCCGAGCTCAAGGTGCTCGACTCCGACGGCTCCACGATGGCAGTCGGCTGCCCGTACATGCTCTTGAACAGAGCGGCGATGTCATCAGAGTTCGCAGCGCTGGTCGTGGGACCGCCATAGCTGATCTTGAACGATCGCTCCAAAACTGCAGGCAACACAGTCTCGTATTGAAGACGAGCCTTCTGAAGAGTGCTGTAGTTGCTCACGATGTCATTGGCGGGAGCCATGGTCGGCTTGCTGGTCAAGAGATGTGGCACGAGTAGTAGTGCAGACGAACAAGCGCGCGACCTTCTGGGATATGGCGGAGCACGCACGACCGCCTTCGAAAAGCCCAGCGAAGACCGCCGCTCCTTCGCACCGCGCAACCTCCCCCGCAAACCCACTGGCTCTCGTGTGGCGAGCGAAGCTGATCTCCACGGGGATCTAGAGTCTCCCAGCCCGATTATAGCTGCTTCGTGTGCGCTGATTTTGCGCTGAGCACGAAGCACACGGCGGCGCGCTGCAGGGAGTTCTCGCCCGCCGGCGAATTGGCGGAACTTTTCGGTCCCCCGCTCCCATGCGACTGCTGACTGGGCATTGGCCGCGCGAATTGGCGGAACGTCCAACCATTCACGGCAGCGACGGCGGGGCCAAACAATTTGGCAGGGACGGTCGAAGCGTCGTTTGGCAGCGATAGGCGGGCGCGAAGATCCGCGCAAGATCCGCAGACGCGCTGGGATTCGGTTTCGGCTCGGTAATTTGGCGGGGCTACTGTGACTCAGATTTTTTTTCTACCCCTTCGCATTTCGAGCGGGGTGCTTTTGGACCCTTGCGCGTCCATTGTGGGTCTGTTCTCGCGGCGGCGCGCTTGCCCGCTGATGTTCCTCGGGACGTGAGAAAATAGCCCTTTCAGGTTTTTGCGGGGACCAGTGTAGTGGAAAAGGGGGGGACGATCCCGGTTATACAAGGCAAAGGGGGGGGGGGGGGGATACTGACCGGTGCCACCGATCGAAGATCGGCGACGGCTGCTGGTGCAGGCGTGCGCTCTAGCGGAGCAGCCCACCAAATCTCTTCCTACCGGCAGGGCTACCCTGCATGCTTTGCTGCACTCTCCTTGCGGAACGAGCCACTGCCCCCGCCCTCTCTCTCCCTTTCTCTCTCCGTCTTCCCTTCCATGATTGCGGCCAACGACAGAGTTGTGTGTGGGACTTGGCCGCGAAACTGGATGAGTGTGGGTCGGGTCGGCGCGGCGCAGGCAGTGCGCACCGGCCGGTGAGGGAACGGGAGCTCACCCTTCGTGCTCTCTCTTTCCCTCTCAACCGGCTCCCTCTCTCTCTTTCTCTCTTTGACCTGTTGGCTGTGGAAGCCGGTTGAAGGCCTGGGACACGAGCTTCGCAGTGTGCTTTCTCCTGAGACTAGACGAAAGAGAAGACAGGTGTGGGGAAGAAGGTTGGCGTCGAGAAGGCTTTGGTCGACTTGTGGGCGGTCGCACGCCTGGGATCGGTCGGTCGATTGTGAGAATTGACAAGGGGAAGGGAGAAGTAGTGGGTGTGGGTGCGCTCTTGTGTTTGTCGTCGAGGCGGGGTTTCCAGCGTGTTCGGAGGGAGGAGTGTGATTGGGAGGAGGAGGACGTGGGGAAGTAGCCGCCATGGAGCATCTCGAAGGGTTGATGAGTCAGCTGCTTCTTCCTGACAATGAGGCACGGCGGGGAGCGGAAGAGAAGATCAACAACTTGGCCAAGGATCCGACGGTAGTGCCTGCGCTTCTGGCGCACGTTCGCTCTTCGGTACACGAGAACGTGCGACAGCTAGCGGCCGTTCTGCTGAGGAAGAAAATCACCGGACACTGGATGAAGCTCGGGGCCGATGTTCAGGAATCCACCAAAAATGTCCTGCTCGAGAGCATCGTTAAAGAACCCAGGTACTGATTAGCATGTTTTCGTTGCCAATGGGAGGAGCAACCGTGTGCAGTGCGTGGGCGCGATGCTATTAAACCCGAAAGGCGTGCGCACCCATTGCCCATTCCCCACTTCCCAGCTTTCCTCATCTCCCCCGCCCCCCCCCCTCGCTTCTAACTCACATCCTCTCTCTCTCTCTCTCTGTGTGTGTGTGTGTGTGTGTGTGTGTGTGTGTGTGTGTCTGTAACCTAAGTACCGATTAACTTGTTTCATCGCCAAAGGAGCAAGCCGGGGACATGATGTGGGTGCTATTGAAGTCGATGCGCGTGTGCACGTTTCAAAGCTGTGCACCCTCTCTCTCTCGCTGTGTGTGTGTGTGTGTGAGAGAGAGAGAGAGAGAGAGAGAGAGAGAGAGAGAGAGAGAGAGAGAGAGAGAGGTGGAAGACGATGTATGCATCGATTTGTACGGATGATTAGGGCATGTTGGGAACCTGTTGTGCGATGGACGTATGCCTTGTCTCACTGTGAAAGACGGAGCGTATTAGAGCATGATGATGATAAATTAACCAAACAGATTCGAGGTCCATTATGGAATTTGCTGTCCCATGCTCGGAAGTCGTGATTGATGGCACTCCACGCGGAGGGATGAACAGAAGGCACAAAGTAAGCTAAGTTAGGGTTTCTCGAGAATCCATTGGATCTGCACTCGTCTTTTTTTTTTTTTTACGTGCGAAAACGAACTTCAGGATCTGCACTGGCTGTCACAATTTCGCGGGGTAATGATTTATAAGACGTGGAAATAGCCAAGTATGCGGATGGTAATCCGAGGGCGAAGTAAGTAGCCAACTATGTCGATGGTACTACTAGTAATTAAATAGCGAACTATGTAGATGGTACTAAGGGCCTCGCTGCACCATGCACAAAAGACAAAAATCTTGGCCGTGTATCTTTCCATATTCTAGAGGAAGATTCACTCTCGTTTTGCACATTTCGAGAGTAGTACAGCGAGGCCCTAAGTAAATACTGAACTATGTAGATGGTGGTAAGTGAATAGCGAACGATGTAAATGGTAATCTAATTCCGAACGAAGGCCGTACACACAGTGGAACCTTTCAGGGCGTATGTGACCGCTTTTTCCGCCAGATTCCACCTGGACAATTGTAGTGGGATTCTGTGGGAGTATGTTAAACGTACTAAGGATCTGCTAGGGACGAACACAGTGGCACCTTCCAGAGCCTATGTGACCGCTTTTTCAGCCAAATTCCTCGTTGAAAGTTCGAGTGGGAGTATGCTCTTAGAGTATCACGTATTAAGGATCTGCTAGGGACAAACGTCGACATAACTTCGCGTGCAGTAGTACTAGATTAATACGCATCAGGCGTCAGTGGAAGCGCCATTGCTAAGTTGATGCTCAGTTGATGCTAAGTTGATGCTAAGTTGATGCTAAGTTGAAGTTAAGTTGTACACTATTAATAAGCGTGAGGCGTCAGTGTAAGCGCCAGTGCTAAGTTGATGCTAAGTTGATGCTGAGTTGCATCCTGTAAGCTGAATGCGTTCTAAGTGCCTATGGATGTTAGGATCGGGAATTTCGTTGATGTAAGCTCCAGTGCTTTGTATAGACGGGCGTGCTACGCGGGTAGGCATCTGGGCCTAGTACTTGGTTAGGTTAGTTCCGAGTCTGGCGCATATACTTATAGCGTGCAGAAACGTGCATAGGTTCATGGCTTGCATGTGCTAAGTATTAACTATGTCCCTACTACTCATCCTAAGTATTCCCGGCGTGCTTATCACACGCGGTAAGCTAGTGCTGAAGTCGATTCGCCAGGCTGTTGTCAGGCACAATATCTGTGTAGAGGTAAACGTGCATCAAACGAAATCCAGTGCATTTGCGGAGTAGAGGCCTCATGCACACAAGAAAGCCTCTTACGGGGCTTCTATGCACTTGATTGATAATTACGTAACACTTGGTTTTGCGATCGCGCGGTTCCCCTACAGCCTGGTGTACTCGTCTGATCTTTACTGATAAAAAGAATTCGCCAGCTTTTCTCTTTTATTAAGTTTTTTATAGTGTTGGTCATCGAGAATGCTCACAGTTGAAGCACGGGCACGCGCACGTGCATGTGCGTGTGTGTTAGAGACAGAGAGAGACAGAGAGATTCAGAGAGAGACAGAGAGAGAGACTTGGTCATCGAGAAAGCTCACAGTTGAAGCACGGGCGCGCGCATGTGTGTGTGTGTCTCTGTGTGTGTGTGTGTGTGTGTGTGAGAGAGAGAGAGAGAGAGAGAGAGAGAGAGAGAGAGAGAGAGAGAGAACAGTAAGAGGCGTGGTGAGAGAAGGTTGAGCTTATACAAGGAGTTGGAGAGTTATGGTGAAAAGTTTCGCTCATTTAGGATGCACTGACGCGATATCAACACATGTATGATATCCTTCCCTGCTGATTATCCGCACCGACAGATTTGTCAGTTGGTCGGAGTTCCCAGCATATATCCAGTTTCGCTCCTGCATATTATAGTATTAAGTTCCCCAAGGTGATGGATGAGGTGCCAAACGACCTCGTCGATATGTGTGGCGTGTATTTGACCGTGATTACAGTCGCCGACGGGGTATGGCCTCAGGCGACAAGGTTAAGCACACCTTTGGTTCTGTGCTTGATCGATCCATTTCTCAGCATCCGATTTACAGCTGTGAACCATGGCGTTCTCTTTGAGGAATGCCAATGCGTTCTATTCGAGGAATGCCAATGCGTTCTATTCGAGGGATGTGGCATTCCCTCAACGAAAACTTCCTATTCCTCAAACAGAGCACATTGGCATTTGGGGAATGCCAATGTGTTCTGTTTGAGGAAATCTCCGGCGTTCTTTTCGTTTTTTTTTTTTTTTTTTTTTTGGGCGCTCTATTCGAGGGATGTTGCATTCCTCAAAGAGAATTTTCGTATTCCTTTTCTTATTTTTTTAATAATAAAACAGGTCCTTATGGTCCTGGCTCCATATCCATTTTTTTGGGGAGCGTCAGTCCGGTTCCTATTCCCCCGGCGTTGTATTCGAGGCAAGTCGGGCGTTCTTTTCGACGGATGTTTTCGACGAATTTTGGGGAGCGGCAGTCTGATTCCTCCTCCATATTTTTGCAGTACTACATCATATACCCAATTCGTTCTGATCGAGGAATGCCAATGCGTTCTATTCGCGGGATGTTTTCATTCCTCAAAGAAAACTTTCCTATTTTGCATTCCTCAAAGAAAACTTTCCTATTATGTTTCCAAATTTCATTGGCCGCTTTTGCTTCTTAATTCGGAGGGTACTTCGGTTTGTCTCCTCTCCTGCTCTTTTGCTGTTTTATTTTTCACCCCTCTCTTTGTGGAGGACTTAACCCTTTTTCACCCCTCGTTTGTGGGGGGACTTAACCTGACTGTGGCTGAAAAGAAGGAACCTGCTGCAAATAACACTGTTCTCGAAGACGCAATTCGCTGCTTGAAACGACTGTGTTAGTTTTAATAACCGTCTCTTTTGTCTTTCTCCTCCTTGTTGTATGGTGAATGCAGCTCACGTGTAAGGCGCGCAAGTGCTGATGTTGTCAGCATAATTGCAAAGCATTGTGTGCCATCTGGTCAGTGGCCAGGACTGCTCCCATTTCTGTTTGAGTGCAGTCAAAGCTCACAGGAAGAGCATAGGGAGGTGAGAGATTCTCGTTAACTCGTATCTACTATCTATTTATAGAAGTGCGAGATTGCTACACCTTTTGTTGTCAATGCGATATAAGAAATTACAAGACAGCTTGTGACAATGCAATTTTTCAGTCGAATGCTCTGCCTAAACCCCACATGCCAAAAATAAAAATAAAAAATAAAAAATCCCACTTGCCTTACTATCTGTGGAGCAATCAATGCTGATCAGGGTCCCTTCGACCAGACGGAAGGGAGCGTGTGTGGGTATATTGATGCAATCAATGCCGGGGGAATAGAAACCGGACTGATGCTCTCCAGAATGGACATGGAGCCAGGGTCATAAGGACTTGTTAAAAAAATAAAAAATAGAAAATACATGCATTACTATTCTATAATTAACTATGCAAATGTTCTTCGTCTCCCATGCAAAGCAAAAAAAAAAAATGGAAAAAATGAAAAATAAAAAAAATCAGAGATGGTGTTTCTGAGGAAAGCAGAAACCTTCTGCGGTCAGGAGGTCCATGTGCGGAATCCAGAGAAGGATGGTGTCGTGATTGTGGTGTGCATTTGTGTGCTACCGTTTTCACCCGAAGAGATCGCCTGGTCATTATTGCTGTGTCTTTCGTTGTTGTTGTTTACTATGCAAATGTTTTTCGTCCACCATGCAAAGCCAAAAAAAAATTAAAAAAAATGAAAAAATGAAAAATCAGAGATGGTGTTTCTGAGGAAAGCAGAATCCTTCTGCGGTTAGGAGGCCCATGTGCGGAATCCAGAGAAGGATGGTGTCGTGATTGTGGTGTGCATTTGTGTGCTACCGCTTTCACCCGAATAGATCGCCTGGTCATTATTGCTGTATCTTTCGTTGTTGTTGTTGTTTTTGTTTTGAATGCCACCGAAAGGTCCAAAAGCATGGCTAAAAGTTTGCACCATTCCTCAATTTATGTGTGGCACCCTTGCGCAGGGACTATGCGAATCTTCTTTCTTTGTGTCGTGCCAATTTTGGCGGATGTCCCTCTCTTGTAATCTCTAGACTGTAAATTGTGCAGGGACCATTATCGCTGTATCTACACTGGAAAGTGTGCTAAGTACAGCTATAAATCATTCCAATTTTAATGCATGTCCGTCTCTTTTTATCTCTGGGCTGTAAATTGTGCAGGGACCATTATTGCTGTATCTAGACTGGAAATTGTGCTGAATACCTAGGCTACCAGCTAGGGGACCATTATTGCTCTCTTTTGCCTCAGGGTCACATCGAAATTCTTCATCAAATTTAGAATAATTTTTATCTTTTTTTTATTTTTATTTTTTTGATGATTTTTGGCCCGGCTGGTCAAGTGACCCCAGGCCACTCTGGTAGCCTAGCTGAATACAGCTATAAATCGTTTCAATTTTAATGCATGTCCGTCTCTTGTAATCTCTAGACTGTACATTGTGCAGGGACCATTATCGCTGTATCTAGACTGGAAATTGTGCTAAGTACAGCTATAATGACTGGGCATTCTTGCTTACTGTATCTAGACTGGGAATTGTCAAGTGGCAACTTTGATCCGTCGAGGTTGAAAGCTCCTCCTGACAGATGGGTGTCCTAACGACTATTAATTTAAATAATTATAAACTGATTACATCTTGTATTCTTCTGTCATCGTGGTTGTACAGGTGGCACTTATCCTCTTTTCTTCTTTGACGGAGACGGTTGGGGATATGCTGAGGCCTCAATTTGTCACACTGCATGCTATTTTTGTTAACGGGCTGCGTGACAAAGACAGCAGCCGTGTCAGAGTGGCAGCGCTGAAGTGAGTGAACTTTTCCCCCTGCCCCCCCCCCCCCTTTCCTCCCTTCCCTTTCCCAACCCCCTGCCGTTTCTTCTTGCATCTGTCACGCTAACAACGGGCACAGTTTTTCTTGTTTTCCCCTTTGTTTTCGATGCGTCTCTTTTATCTTTTAACAGGTCATTTCTTGTTGGATTGAATCATGACAAGGGTGGATGTTATTATCCACTTTGCAAGTCTAAATTGGCTATATCAGATCTGTATCTGTGTTTTCAACTTTTTTTTGCCTTTTCTTTTTTTTTTTGTCTGGTACAGGTATGGGTGATCTTTATCTGTGGTTTGTGCAATGTGCTGGGTGGCTAAAAAGTTCAAATTGACAGCAAGTAACATTAACTCAATTGGCATTAATATTCTTTCTATTTACCATGGTTTGACGGGCAGTGTGTAATCGACGTCGAGAGAATCCAGTAGAGCAGTCTTTCGGGCTCATGGCGTAATTACCCACCACAAGTACCATACATTCTGGGATTATATCTATGGGAGTTTGTTATTATGAACTTTGCAAGTCTGAAAAGACTATATCGTATCTTTATCCTGTGGTTTAATGGGTGTGAACTGTGCAGTGTGCATCAGTCATACGAGATGTCGGATTTCAAGGACATGGTAGGTAGCTGGAGCATGTGCATAACTCTTTGGACCATAGCAGCGTATGGGCCTCGCACAACTATACAGCACTCTATATCCGCATTTGGACACACTCTCTGCCCCAGGTGCATTCGGACGACTCCAGCATTTTGAATGCATTTGGTTCGGAAAGGGCTCAAATGCATTTGGTAGTGTTGTTTAGTGGAGCGAGCCCCTATGTCTGGAGCGAGCCCCTACTGCTGCACGGAGGAAAAGAAAGGGGACTGTTGAAGGCTCCCAACTTATGTGCAGTGTATTCTCCATGGCGCAGCAGTAAACCAATCGTTGACCATAGATTTGAGCCCGATCAGTCGTATGCACGCGATTTTTCTGCAGGGTTGGCTTTGGGTTGCAGAGGGGACGAAATGGGTTAATTCTGGATTAATTCTGGGTTAATTCTGGGTTAATTCTTCTGTTTAGATCAGGGTTATTCTTTGCAGATTAAACCACCACTAGCTTCCAGGCTGCGGCGCTGAGTCTTAAAAGTAGCCTACTCCGCGTTCTTTGGAGCCCTGCAGAGGCTGGGCGCTACTGGACCAGAAAGGCTGGCGGTGCCAGCCAGCCAGAAAACTGAAATGCTGCGCTGGCGCTTCGGCACCCCGTTGGTGTGCGGTTGGACTCCACCTCTCGGCAAAACCAGGCTCGGAGGTAGTGGATGGTTTAAGGATTTGTTTAGATATATGAGTTAAGGAATTGATTACCCTTGTTCCAGAACACATCGTAAGTGAGAAACAAAGAGGATTAGGGAACAGCAATCGTAAGTGAGCTACCGTCCCCCGAACATAACGTACCCTGAAAATGAATGTACACAAGGTATGTTTGCGGCCCGATACAGTGAAAATGAGGGTGCATTGTGTTTGGGGGAAGACGGTAGTTGCTGTTGTTTTTAATCTGGAGTGAGTTTGGACGACATTGATGTGACGGATGTGGCATTTTATCTGATTGTTAACTTAGAATTGCTTTTGCTTTGAATGTTCGTCTTGTGTCGTCTGTTGTGTTTGGCTGTTGGGATTTTGGGTAATTCTCTGTGTGTATTTGATACAGAGCTGTTGGGTCTCTCTTGGATTGGATACAAACCGAGCAAGAAGTGGTGAGTTGACTATTCGATTTGACTTTCCATCTAATTTGTTTCCGTTCGTGGTCCGGACGACTGAATACGAACATCATGTCCTCGTGCTCCCCTGTGACTATATACTTCCGCCAGGGCTACTGGCTGAAGGTGCTGATAGGGTTGGTTACTGCTTTTCTGAATTGCGATGTGCTGGTGTGAGCATGGCCAAACCAAGTTAAACAGGATGATGGTTCTGTTTGCATGCATGTGTGAATGAGTGTATGTGTGCGTGCGTGAGTGTGTGTGTGTGTGTGCGTGTGTGTGTGTGCGTGCGTGTGTGTGTGTGTGTGTGTGTGTGTGTGTGTG